CTGACAGTGTGGCCCCAGGAGCCTTTTTCCCTTGCGCCGGAGCCCCCGAGCGTCCCCCAATGCGCCGGGTTAGGCCTGCGATTGCCGGGCGCAAAAACGGGCCGAGCCGGCGGAATTCGGCGTCCTGGGGGGCGCGACTGGGGCGTTTTTTCGACGCCGGCGCGAAAAAAACGCCTGAGGAGGGCCTCTTGGGGGCGCGGCTGGAGATGCTCTAATCACTTTGCCTGGCTGGCCAGGGCAGGCTAATAGCGTTGACAAGTTTTCAGGCCATGCTAGGATAAGATGATTGAGGACACCAACCAAATCTTGCTTCAGGACATCATCCAAACAAGTCCAAGACCGTATTGTAAATGAGCATATTAGCCTAATTTACCATATTAAAGTACTTCGATTTACACACACGTGCGCATGTGGGATCGTCCTAAGGAGTGGATGTGATGCGAGAAAACCTGGCTGGCAACTTCTTAACTCCAATGTACATGGCGTCCCCGAAAAAGGGAAGGACCGTAGGAGCCACATTAGACTCTATTTGACTAGGTGACACCTTTGCCATCCGAAAGCTCTTGTTCTATCGTCATTTACACACCTGACCAAGGTTTTGGTTACCAGTCGAAATTTCAAGATTTCCCATGGTTACCACGTATTTCCGTGCCCCTCGGTAAATCGTCATACCGAGCAAAAAATACCATTTTTTTGAAATTTTTGAATTTAAACACTCGATTTACAGTAAGGTATGTAGGGTCTAATTAATGCAATGAAAGTTGGTTATGGCATGTTGGTAGCAACCTAGTTCCTGTTTTGAGAGGTCTCTGGTTTGAATATTCGTTCATTTTCTTATTTGAATTCAAAATTCAACTATAAAATTCGCTCGAAATATTCTCGGTATTTGTCGGTATTTCTCGGTAACCGTGGTAACCACATTTATCAGTCCCCCTCGGTAAAATTACCTCATTCGGTAACCAAAACCTTGCACCTGACACGAGGCCCTAAGTTCCCACACCTCCTGCCACTGCGAGAGCAACATATGTAGGAGACTGGATATTACGACCTTGATGGTTTTCGATAGTCATACTTGCCTCCTTTTCCTCCTCCAAATAGGAAAAGTGGGAAGCAGAATGAACACTCTCATTCCTACGTTTTTATCTTCCAGATTATTAACTACTACCAATAAATAATTCAACATTTTCTTGCTTATAAAATAGTGGCTTCTACAAGTGAGTAACAAATGCTCCCTAAATACCAAATTAGAACAAACAGTAGCATCTTGAAAATAACCGGCCATGTTCTACATGACATGAAGACATAGGATTTCTTACAAGATCATGGAACTCTTCGCGGCGCATTTCCACACTTCTAGAATATGCCCCATGTCCTGCAATTATCTTTACCATTATCACACCCAAGCTGAATATATCTAACTTACTCGAGACAATGTTTCCATGTAAGAATTCCATCGGCAAGTATCCGCTGTATCGCAACATAAGTATAACATAAATATCTTGTAAGTGAACATATTTTATATATCATAAAGTGAAAAATCTATCCCTAGAAACACATTAACTTACATTGTTCCCAGAGGACTTTGCGTGATCATGGTTTGTTCATCACCGAAGAGCTTGGACAAACCAAAATCGGCGAGTTTCGGCACCATGTTATTGTCAAGCAATATATTATCCGGCTTTAGGTCCAAATGATAAATTGGTTCTTCAAATCCTTCATGAAGGTGTTTTAGGCCTTCACATGTTCCCTTGATAATTTTGTAACGTAAGTTCCAGTCAAGTCCATCGCATTCGTCTGCAATTTAAAAGGACACCAATTAAGGAAATTGGACAGAACCATATTTTTCAAATGCTAAGCCTTGTTCTTGGAAAAGAGAACTACCATACCAGAAATATGATTTTGGAGACTTCCATTCTGCATATATTCAAAGCAGAGTGCTCTGTACGTCTTTTCAGCGAAAATTGTTTTTCCCATGTACTGCATAGGTTGATGCTGTGTTTCGTAACAGTATCCAACTAACCTTACAATGTTGTGATGATCAAGCCTCATAAGGTTTTCAAACTCACGCTGGAATTGTACATCGTCCATTGCTGGCGTGTTATTGTAAAGCACCTTCACGGCAATGTTTTCACCGTTTTGAAACTTTGCCTGTACAACATCTATTATCAACACTTCGTGTCTTATTCTAGAAATAGGCTCGTGCTCTTTATTCGTTATCAATAACTTATATGCATGTACTAAAAAAAGCTATGTTATTTGGCATATAATAAGACACGGGGAAATAAGGCATAGTGGTTGTCCACATACTACTCAATGTCATTATGTTCTGTGTAGTGATGTCTTGCACCATGTGGGACTCATATTTAGTTCCCTTTTCATATCCACAAGAATATATATGCAGTGAATATACCGTTATACAAGTACTAAAGTGCTATTATGAGGCACCGAGTGTTTGTATTATTATATATTAGTAGAGACCAATATTGTGCTATAAGAAAAGTTGTGTGTCCAGATTCAAGGATATTACGATGGAGTCAAAGGTCAGATTTATAAATTTGAGCAGTTAAGCGAGCACGTATTAGAATTTGATCTTAAGAAAGCTACATTTTCCTTCCTAAAATACGTTGCCTATTATTACTTTTGTCAAAGTCCAACTTTATAAGTTTTGACCAAGTATATAGAAGAATATATCAACATCTATAATATCAAATGCATTAAATAGGAATATTTTTGTTATGGTGGTTCTAGTTAATAATATTGATTTGATCACAACATATATATTCACGAGATAGAATTTAACCAATCATGATTTGAATCATACCACGTAAACCTTTCCATACGCGCCTTGACCAATTTTCCTGTCCTCGGAGAAATCATCTGTGATTTCTTGTAATACTTTGATCGTTAGGCTTGTTGCCTTTTGTAACTTGCTAGCCATGTCACTGTCTTTGCTGCAGATACAGAATAACCCCCATCAAACTTGTGCAAATTAAAGGAAAAATTGACCATCTTGAGAATCAATAGTAACCAGTTTTATTTATATGGACCCTCAAGCATGAGTGTTTTCTCTTAAAAATGTTAGGTTTGCAGAGATCTATATATAGGAAGAGCAGGCTTGTCGAGAGACATAAACACGAGGAGCATACATACATATCAATACGATTCTAAGCCATTCATCTAAAAAAATGCGATTCTAGGCCTAAAATGTTCAAATCGGAATAGATTGAGCAAAATCAGGTACTAGCTCGCTAAGGGATTGACCAATTAATATGGCAGAGATCGATAAGAAGTTAATTAGTACTAGCAAGCTAGCTAGGTACTGACCTGGAGTTGGAGGTTGAGCTAGAGCTGGAGAGCTGAAGGCCTCCTAGTGCCTGATGTGCTTCATCGGAGCCAGTTGACGCCATGATCGATCGTTCACCTCTCACTTGTTCCCTACAAGCCAAGATGGTAGCTGGGAGGGGAGAAAGAGTGAACAATTAAGCAATTAATAGGCGAGATGAGGTGGGTCACGACACTGAGATTGAGCAATTAATTAAGTACGATCCAGTTGGGCAATTAGTCCCGGCAAGTGGCTAGGTTGGGGTCTCAGGTCTTAGATGTTAGGCTTGGCTACGATGTCTGTTTGGTATTAGGCCCAAGCTATCTGCCCCTTCATCAACTTAATAGGTGTAGCGACGGTTTGTTGCTTAGACGGCGGCTTTCGTCTTACTGTTGTATGACTTTGTAAGGTCTTATGAGAATAATTAATAAAGTGGCCATTGTCCAGATGCAGAGGCGGGGGGTCATCCTCCTTTTCTAAAAAAAGTTGGGCAATTAGTGTAGATCGACGGGCTTTGTCAACGCAAGGGTTTGGGTTGGTGGACGGCTACAGCTCATACCCCGATGGGGATGGGGACGGCCGAAGAAGTCGCTTGCAACTTGGCAATTGTTTGCCTTTTTTTTTGTGAGACTCCAATTAAGCATCTATTGGCATGAGTGCCCTGCAAAACTGCTCGCTGTCTGTGCGTCAACCATGGCTGTCAGGGCTGGGTGCTTAGGCTGCCCGTAATGGTAGTATCATAGGTAGTATCATGCATGCCAACTAATCAATTTTGAAGAGATGTCATAGAATTAAATGGAGAAAGAGATACTTGAGTATCATATCATGATACCGTACCATATTAAATGATGTGCTACTTTGCGTCATACATGGCAATAAATATAGTACTCTATGATACTCCCTCCTTTCCGGTTTATAAGGCTTATCTCAATTTTTTTCATTTTGCCGATTTATAGGGCTCATCTCCATCTTCCTTTAAGATTCCAATGAGCATTAAATCTTTGCATGCAAGAATTAAAAAGGAACTCACCAATGCATGTTATGCTACTACTCATCTAGTGGTCAAACATGCATGCACTGCAATTAAACCCAATTAATGCATCGATTTAGTTTGGGTAGTTTTGTAAAGCACGAGATACATTCTTCCACTCACCATATGCCTTGGTTGATGAGATTTCATATTTGAGCCTTATAAACCGGAAAGGAGGGAGTACCAACATATGATACTTTGCATTACAGATGTAATATCATACACTAGTATCATATGCATGATACTAGTATATGATACTCCCCATTACAACTAGCCTTAGTGTAGAAGTGCATGCTCTAGCCAATGCAACCAAAAGACCGATCTGAGAGAGAGGGCCAGACATAATACTCCAACACTCCCCCTCACGCCTATGCTCATTTGGAGCTATATGACGTGGGCAGCGAAAGCGGGGGCGGGCCGCAATTATTTATTGCGTTTATCGGGTTTTGAACCCTGGACCTCTTGGTTGTAAGTTCATGCACCTAACCAGTTCATCCATCAGACCGATCTTTTGGTTGCATTGGCTAGAGCATGCACTTCTACATGGCATCAGAGCCAAGAGGTCTTGAGTTCAAGACCCGGCAGGCGCAATTAAAATTGCAGCCCACTTTCGGTCCACGTTTAGGCCTGAGGGAGCCACACGTGAGGGGGAGTGTTGACGTATAATGTGCTGCCTAGTCTCTTCCACAGATCGGTCTTTTGGTTGCATTGGCTAGAGCATGCACTTCTACATGGGTGAACTGGTGGGCCCTCTCCCATAGTTCGGACTGATGGGTGAACTGGTTAGGTGCATAAACTTACAACCAAGAGGTTCAGGGTTCAAAACCCAGTAAACGCAATAAATAATTGCGGCCCGCCCCCGCTTCCGCTGCCCGCGTCATATAGCTCCAAATGAGCATAGACGTGAGGGGGAGTGTTGGAGTATTATGTCCGGCCCTCTCTCTCAGATCGGTCTTTTGGTTGCATTGGCTAGAGCATGCACTTCTACATGGTATTGGAGCCAAGAGGTCTTGAGTTCAAGACCCGGCTGGCGCAATTAAAATTGCAGCCCACTTTCGGTCCACGTTTAGGCCCGAGGGAGCCACATGTGAGGGGAGTGTTGACGTATAATGTGTTGCCTAGTCTCTTCCATCAGATCGGTCTTTTGGTTGCATTGGCTAGAGCATGCACTTCTACACTTAGGCCCTTTCGAGTGCTCCACGGTGGATAGGTGCTAAGCATTGCCACATCAGTAAAAAAAGACATGACGCAGTAATTAAGGAGGAGAGCTCTTTGGTGACCCCAAGAAGAACCAATGTCAAACACGTGGACCTAGGTAAACCACTTAAATGAAGGACATTGACTAATTGATGAAAGAGTTTAGGCGCTAAAATAATTAAATAAAGTGTGCTTAGACTAGCCATAGTGGGAGTAACTTCAACAGTAACATCAAGTCAAACTAAGCAAATTTGCTTATGTGGCAATGAGTTAATGAGGAGAAGAGCTAGTTTGAGTAACTTAGTTACCGTAACATCACATGTCCCAATGCATTATGAGTCTATAACCTAATAAATGAAGCTTTGCATGACACCACACTTATGTTACTACCCACTATAAAGGTAGTATAACATAGTTTAGGGACATGTGTATGTTACTAGTTTATGTTACTATGCACTACGGCTAGTCTTAGCAACAACAAATTAAGCACCTACTACTTCATTGAGTTGAGTTGCTAAGCTATTTAATGCACTTAGCACTTCTTCACCTTTGCATTGGAAGAGGTCTTATGTAATGATATGCAGGACAAAAACAAACAGAGTTTATTTCACACACTTCAATAATTGCAGGTGATAAGCTCTGTCAGTCAAGTTGGACAGCCCACGAGGTTGCCGGCAACTTGATCAGATTTTTGAGTGTTTTCTGAGACTCGGAAGGGAAGACCCCTCTTTGGTCATCTCGCGTGCATGTGACTCTCTTACAGTCTGGATGCAACGCAAGTGTGTCAAACTATCAATCGCGCGAGATCCTGGACATGTACTTCACTGTCTTCAGTGTCGCGCGCTAACGATAGGGTCGGCCTGGCCATGAACCGGGGAATACATATATGACCGAAAGAAACTATTTCTACAAATCCAGATCTATTATTAGGCAAAGGTCAAAATGCTAAAAAGATGGATGTCCAAGAAGCTAACGAAAGTCAAATGCAGATCTATTTGCGCTGGAAAGGAATTGGTTTGCTCAATTAAGAAGAGGGGATTGTCCCCGAGGGAACCGGGACCAAAGGCGTGAGAAGAACCGGGACCAATGGCCTCCGAGGCCCGGCCAACGCCCTGGCCTCACGAACCAAGACTAATGCATCCTTTGGTCTCACTTGATGAGTGAACTGGGATTAATGTCCTTATCAAAGTCATGTTTTTTAGTAGTGATTGCGTGTTCGATGGCTATGGCAGCAGTGGACTGACAACCATAAGCCGTGGCATGGCTTGCCCCTCCAATGCATGGACTACTATGCACGTCAGCTTTTTGAAGCCTCGGTCCAGGTTAACATTGGGAAGGGGAAAAGGCCAAATTCTTGTATGATCAGTGGCTCTTCTCCACTTCGCTGCGCACCTCATTGCTGCGCATCTATGCACCAGCCCTTTTTGGGTGATCGATGTATGTGTCACCTGAAAACTAAAATGACGGTTGAAGCTCTTGAGCAGTTTGCCACATATAATCTTTACAGTTTCTAAGCTCCCAAAAAATGAAGCTTCCTCGATTAATTGGGGATGTGGGATCAGCATGTCATGCACTGAAAGGGATGTACTTACCGCCTTAGGCCCGAGCTTTGTTTACACTTGTCCTCTGTGTATCCCATTTTGAGCAACCTGTCGCAGTTTGGCGTAGAATAGCCATCGCTGGCTGCACGTGAGGTACTGTATGGACTCAACTTCTTTCTCCAGTTCCGGTTCCAATCTCCTGCCGCTTCCTCCTACTTAACGTGAGAGACGTGGTGACCAACGACTGTGGGACAACAGATGGAGAGAGGCAGCTCTCAGTTTTTTTTTTTACAGAAAGAGCGATAAGAGTTTTTTTAGATATAAGAGCGCAGAGATAATGTACTGTATATCCAACGGGAGAGTGCTGCCATTTTTATTCTGCACATCTTGTCGGCATCAGGCCCAAGTACATAGCCAATATTACGTGCTAGGCCCATACGGCTGTACAGCTTTATTTCATGCATTCCAATTTATATTTGGATTTGGATGAAAATACAGTTTGGCACATATCTTTATGACAGAATGGAAGCCCAGGATTTTGAGCTCAGTGTCGTTCGAGCACCGAAATACTCTACTCATATGTATGTGGTGCAGTACAACCTTTATGTGAATATTTTGTTCTTTTTTATGGGAGAATATCTCCTGCGAGGCAGGAAGAGAAATCACCAAACTCTACCTTTACGTGAATATAAGATGTCTTTCACTAGAAATTTGGTTGTTATTCACCTCTTACATATTTATTCCATATGATCCAAATAAAACACATCAACTTATGCTGATTTTTTAAAAGGGTGGACTGTATTGACTCAAAATGAATTATCAAAATTATTGGGCTTCATTCTCATCTTGTCATGCAAAAATGAAGGTAGAGGTAAGTAACAAAGGTAAGGGTGTGATTGATGGTTTACAACCCATTAGTAATGTGGAGAGGATTTGTGTTCCATGGCTGCCTCCCACTCCGTAATTCCTCAAGATTAATGTTGATGCAAGTTTTGTGAAGGCCATTAGCGCAGCGAGCGTTGGGGTGGTTGTTAGAAATCATTCTGGAGAAGTTCTTATTTCTTCCTGGGATTATATTGGTTCATGTCTTTGTGCTGAGGAAGCGGAACTTCGAGCAGCCATCTCAGGCCTTTACATTGGTATCACTCTTCACAAGCCCATTATTTTAGAAACCGACTGTTCTTTTGTGGCCTCGGTTTTTGCAAATGATAACCTGGACAAGTCAAACCTTGTTGATTTGAAGAAGGAAGCGTTGAGTGTCTCTAAGATGATGAGTACTTTAAAAATCACCAAGATTAACAGGAAGGCGAATATGGT